AAAAAATTCAAAGAATTATAACTATTTGAAGAATTTTCTAATAAATTAATATTACATGAATCTTTATTATATGAGTAATTATTTTCGAAGGTGGATTGAAAATTTTTTGATGTGATTCTACAATTTGTATTATATATGTATTGTTAAAAGTTAGGTCTAAAAAAATCATATCTAGTATTTTTGTTGTCTTCAAAAATAATGACATATATATATAAATAAGAAAAATTATAATTAAAATTTTTTTACTAATTATTATTTTTTTTTGCTATTGAAAGTATAAGTTTTAATTATTGTTTAAACTTTTCTAAAAAACATTTTTAGTAAATGAAATTTAATAAAAAAAGAAAAGATAAATATAAAAGAATGTAAAAACAAAATTTTATTAATATATATTGCTATTTGTTAAAATGATTTATTATTGAGTTAAAATAAGATTTTTTTAATAACTTGCAAAAAGAAATATCAGATATTACAAAAAAAAAAACAATTCTTAAGCCATTTAATTGAAAGTAAATATTATATTACTTTTTTATGTTATTACAATTTTAATACCTATTAAATTAGTATAAAAAACAATTTTATATAAAAAACAGTACTACAACAAGTTATAATACTAGATATTATATTAATTTGATTAAATTGTTTTTATTTGAAATTAATAAAAAATCTGTACTTTTTTTTAAAACCAAATGGCATTACTACTATTATTATTACTTAAGCACTATCATTACAATATTATCAAATGATTTTTACAAAATTTTTTTTTTACAAATAATTTTATTATTATTATTATTATTATATTTTGAAAATATTCATGTATAATCATTCAATATTTTTCAATGAGTGAATTTTCAATAAATAAATAGTTTTTAAAAAAAATACTGCAAATCAATTAATATGTAAAGAGTGGGTCATAAATTAATTTTTCTTCGTGTTTATATAAGTTTTTGTTTTCGAAGTTATATATATACGTATATTAATTATAAATTATAAAAATAGATTATTAGGAAAAACTTTTATATTTAGAATTTTTTTTTTATAATACAACGGTAAAAATTAATAGCCGTCTTAATTTTGTGTGACCCGCCTGTACATAGTAAAACATAGTAAATTTATCGAGAACGTTCATTCGTTAATATTCAATAAGATACATGTGTGATGTGATTTAATTAATATATTAGTCGCACCGAAAGATTTATTTTTAAATAAACAGTATAGTAATGCGCAGGATATTTATTAGTTGACTTTACCATTCCGTATTTCGCTTTTAATGTATTTGACAACAACGAAGAGATTATAAAGCTCATCCATTAACCATGAGATGATATGGGGCTTTGCCGAAATGTGAACGCAATAGGAAAGATTGTCCGTATGAAAGACGTAACCTTTTTGGATAATAGCGTAATCATAAAAGTCGTGCAAGTAAGACGCGTTAGAGGTAATCACAACGTAAAATGCGTATTAATTAAAAAAACAAACACGCATTACATACGATTGCACGAAACGTGCAGTAATGAGGAAACAGAAACAGTCATTCCCGTGTGATGTTTTATGTGACTCTCGTTCAGACGGAAGTCGATCGTGTGTGCAAGTGTATTCTGTTGTTATCAACGAAGAACGAATAACGAGCGGGTGAGTACCGGGCCATGACTCATTCACATCAATTGTAACGAGACAAACAATCGATGTATTCCAAGTTTATCTTATCGTTTGCAACTTTCAGGGGAGATATTAGAGGATTTCCGAGTTTAGTAGAAGGTTAATGAGTGCAAAAGAACAATAGTTAAATAAAAATGGTTCATGCAATTATATCGATTACTCTTTTCGCCTTCCAACTGACCGAATCTCCGGTGAATGTTTCGTTAAAGTGAAGTTGGAAAAAAGTTGAAGAGCGCACAAGGAAGACCAATATTAATGCAAGGCAGAAAAATTTGCAGATAACACCAATTCTACAAAAACAGAAACAATATTAACGAAAGAACACAATCGGAACAAACACAGATCAGTTCACAGACCCTTCTTTGCCAAATTTCGTCTACCGTACGCACAAAGAAAAGGCATGCTCCTGTACAGTGTGCGCATATTCTCACACCCATGCAAAATGTGTGGCGATGCATGAATACAAGACATGATAACAAAATAAAGGGATCATTTGTTACCCAAGTAAATTGATTCTATTGTGCCTGGATTCTATCAATCATGCAGATGCGAAAGGATCATGCCAGCATATGAAAATTACGATAAACTGCAAGCATGGATTCCATGAGGCGATAATGTTTTTATGTGTACATGCACAAGGTTTTTATCGCCAGAGTAACAGAAAAACAAGAAATTAAAAAAATGACGTGTGACGATCATCAGAAATTTGACATTGTTCTTCCGACAACAATGATCACGCGATGATCTCACCTTTTCTTTCCGCTTATTTCTGGACCGTAATCGGATATGGTTGTCAACCGTCGTCACCGACTTACGAAGAAGGCAGGTTGATAATTGACACGAGCAAGGACTCATAGAACGCTGTTGCCATTACGTGATATCTAAACGCCTTTGAGATAACTTATCTTCCATCGCAATCGACTTTTTTTTTTTTTTTGAATTTCTGAATCAAAAATCGTCGCATTGTCTGGATTTAATAAAGATCAACCACCACATGTGAATCTGATAAAACAAGCAAAAGCCACGCATTAACTCATGAAGAACTTTTCCGATTCGCACAATGGCCTCCCGAATCATTATCGATGATTTGGGGGATTGAAAATGGTTTGTGGTGTTACCGCACAAGGATTCTTGGTCCTGGCGGACACACGTTGCGAATTGCAAAGGGATATTTGTTCACGCCTGAAATCCATCAGCGCCGATTACATAATCGTTTCCCGAATTCTCACGGGCCTTCTCAGACCATCGATTTCATTATTCCCAAGAAAGAAAGAAAAGTCGTTACGTTATTGTTATAATCGATTGATAAGTGGTTATAATCACATGACAATCGAGATTACCTAATCCTACCTAGCTTATTGACAAACTTGTAGTCCATGTCATCTCGATGTTACCATTGACATTCGTACGGCAGTTTCCATTGTTACCATTCTCACACAACCTTGGCCAATCTATTCGTCCTTTCTCACCACATTATCAGTGCGTTAAACATCAGAACATCTATACCGTAAAATCTCATCGGTAAAATGCTTCCTGATGAAGATGTTTCAAGCAATATAAAATGTTTAGTAAACAAAGATGTACATGGGTGAACGTTCATTTTAAATTCGGAATATGTATTTCACTAAATTGTAAATTGTTGGGTTAGAAAATGGTATATTTATTATTTACATATTTGTATTTGTATTATCTAATCTTCTAATTTTGCCAAGGTTGTCAGAGAGTTCCTCATGAGAGGTTAGCCGAGCAAATGAAGTGTGTCAGTCTCGGGAAAGAAATTTATAAGGTTGCAATCAAAAAAAAAAAAACAACAACAAAGAAATGAAAATAAAATTTACACAAATTGTAATCAATGAATTGATGAATGAATGAGTGAATGTTTGTTTAACTTAACATTCGGGTGAGATGACAGGGTGTTTGGTTAAACATCCCTGTGATTTGCCTCCGGAGAGAAACCGGGAAAATAACTTTCCTACAATGTGTTAGGAGTGCATTCTGGTTTGAAATCTGACGTCAAATAGAAACCTCTCGTATGAGTTGACGTGCGTGTGTACACCGTGTACACATTGCCTAGAGCGAATCTAACTTCTGATACGTTTCATGAAACACGCAACCCTACCAAACCTAATTTCTGATACGCATCATGACAATTAAACTCTAATCTCGATTGATGGATTCTCTCTCCATTATCAGAGAACGTGTGTTTATTTTTGGTGCAGTCTAAAAATAGCGGTGCATGATTCGCACACGAAAAGCGTGTTGTGTTGGTTGAAATTTCTGATGGATAAAATCAAGTTGGCGGGCAACATTCAGATGTCCCATTCACGAAGATGGCTCGTTTAAGTGGAATAATATAAATGGATAATTAAATAAATGATAAAAAATCCGATGTCCATTCATCCATCCTTTTGCGAACATCATAAAGTGAGTGATCGCGTATTCTAAAATCCTTCATATTTTTTCCTCCTCGAGCTCCGTAAATATTACCGTATAAAGAAAAGCCATTATTTTGTTTACACACACACACACATCATCCTGTTTATTTAATTTCTCATATTGTTCTCTTCGCACATCAATCCTTGGGACTCGCACAATTGTCGGCACACATTGTTCTCAGCAAGTGTCTCGTTGTGGAATAAGATCACGGATTTTCGTGGGATAGAGATCCTTCGAATGCAAATCTTTTCACGGAACCCCAATTCAGCATTGTAACGATGCCTTTTTTTTTTTTAAAACATCGGAGTAATATAACATAAGCCCTGTTGATTTGGAAGTTTCATACTTTTGTCCATATAAGATAAGTTCGAGTAATTATAGGATAATGGTTGTGAAATGACATTATTTGTTTCGGTGTGTATAATGCAGAGAGATAATTATAGAGTTTTGATTGTTCTTTGAATTTCTCACCTTTTTGCATTATTTCAATGCAGTTGGATATATATTGTTAAGCGTAAATTTAGAGTTTACCCATGCATTTGGTGTAAGTGACCCATGAAAAGATCCTGCGTCTGACCAGACACATTTGATTGGTCAATCTAGGAGATCGAGGGAAGTTGGAAGTTGGCAACATGAATTCCATCCCGAGGCGATACCGGATGAATTGGGAGGCATTCAAAATGAGTGGGTCGGACCTAATGCAATCACGGATGTTTCTGATGACTCTTGGGTTAGTTAACCACCACCGTCTGTCTACCTTAGCGTTACGAATCGTTAGTTGGAAGGTTACAAATGAGCCAGCCAATCAGAATGTCCAATTTTCAATGTACTTGATTAAAACAACTAAAACAATTAGAAATTTTTTTTTTGCCCACCAAGAATACACCCCCCCTTACTAATATGACCTTTATCATCGTCTCGAGGGTTGATCACACTCTTCTTCAAGTCCTTGAAAAGATTTTCAATCATCGGGATATCGAGGTCCACTCAATCGATAGTTACTATATCTTTTCCCCAACAGCTAGATTATGGGTCATTCAAGTTAATCTTTCCCAAGAGAGAAGCACCTTGTCACATTATGGTCACGTGCGATAATTGATTAAAGCGGGAATCCATATTTATCATAATGAATTATTAAAATGACACCTAATCTCGCAAAGAAGATGACATCGATGGGCACTGATTCGCCATCTGTGAGGATGATGGTTGATATTGGCGAAAAAACCATTTTGCCAATTTCCAAATTGCACACGTGTGCTTACAATCGAAACCATAACCCCCGATGGCTCGATTGATTAACCAATTGTGAGGGTCTCGATGCGGGTATTCAATTGCACTACCCATTTTGCACCAAGTAAATAATTCCTTTCTCTTTCTTTCATCAAAGATTTTCCCGAAACGCTGTCAAAGATCCTAGCACAATGAAAACGATAAAGTATGAAATGAAATAAAATAGATATGAAAAATCATTAATAATAAATAAACGATATCAGCATTGGTTATCAATGTGGTGTAACATTATATCCAATTTGATTGATAATTATTGTATGTACAGTATATGCTTATCGTTATAATTGAGACGCAAACTTTACGAAGAAGAGATTGGAATGGATCAAATTTTTTTTACAACTCTGACAAGTTCATGCATACCTTGGCAAAAAAAAAAAAAACAAAAAAATTTTTTTTTTAATATTAATTTTTTTTATTTTATTGATATGTTCAAAATCTTTCTTTGTAATAGATTATTATAATTAAGACTTATCAAAGCTTGTGTCGTGAACGCATGCCAATATTTTCTTTAAGAATAAAAAGAGATGTTGAAATAAAACGTGAGGAAAACTACTTACAAAAGAAATAAAATAAAATGAAGAGAAATAAGATAAGGAATCGAAAATAAAAAGCTGTACAAACGAGAACACAAGTATTTAAGAGTAAAAATGTGAATATGTGTGAATTTATGCATGGAAAAGCTTAAGCGTTGTCATGAACATTAAATTTTAAGAAACAATATTTTTTTTTTTTCACAATTTCTTTTTTTCTTTTTTTTTTTTTATACTGCAATTTCGATTTGTCGCGATTGAAAAAGTGAGGAAAAAAAAAAAAAAAAAAAGTTTACGGAAGAAAAAGTAATGACAAAAAGATTGTTCATTGAGGTTCGAACACTTTGTGCAATGCAAAAATGGAATATTTACTACAATAGTGTTATTTTCCTTTGAGCTATCTGGATTTTTTATCGAAATGAAATAGCAAAAGAAAAAGAAAAGAAAAAGAAAATATACATATGATTATAAGCAAAATTTTAGAACAAAGTATGTAGAAGAGAAAGCGATCGTCTCAAGCGTCCAAACGTTTCTTCTGTCCAGATCCAATTGTAATCAACCGTCGACGTTACGATCGATCGATCAGAGAAACCTCGTTCATCAACGATTAGAAGGATGATTCACGAGGTTCGTGTGGATTCCTCCTTCTTTATGATATCGTTGCTGTGAAGGAGTGATTGTAGGATCGAAATGAATTGTTGTCATCGTTTAGCAAAAAGTTGACCGACATCTTCTCTGATGAAGAACCTTCGGATGTCGATTTCTTTCTTGGTTTTGTCTTTGTCGGTCGCCTTGGGCAGTAGACGTAATTCGGATATAATTTCATATGTTGTTCTTTCTCTGCCCGTGCTTTTTCTGCGTATATTTGTTTTATGCTCGGAGGCTCGTTGGCCCATTTGTCGGCTGCAGATTTCGAAATTCGAGAGAGTTCCGAGAGGAGGATGTTTGGATTTTGTTCTTTGATCATCTTTTGGTATTCACGTCGATATATCATGAATGAGTTGAGCGGACGAGGTGGCGTATCCCTATTGCGACGGCGTTTCGAAACGCGTGAAGAGAGAGGCTGTGTGGTCATCATGCTTGTTGTTGCGGGGTATTGCAGAAGAGAGTTGTTGTTGATGATGTGGTCGACGCTGTTGTTGTCGGTATCGAAAGGGCTGATTTGGTGAAGAAAGTAGTTTTGGGAGGTTGTGATGTGCTGATTTTGATGTTCGTTGATCGTTGTCTCTGCCAAGGCTCGTTTGTTGAATGACGTACGAGGTTTGGTCATGAAGAAGTGAGAATTGGAATCCGAGTTATTATTATATTTTTTATTTAAAATATTTGTGTATATATATTGTATATATATATATATGTTTGTTTTTTTTTTGCGGTTGAAGGTGAGCAAGGATTCAGAGGAGTGAGTTGTTACCCCTTTTAAATATTTTTGTGGATGATACGATAATGAAATACTACGTTATGTGTGAAAACCAACGTCACGGCGATTATGACAGGGAGATCTATTCGCACTTATGAGGAAAGATGGATATCTCAAAAAAAAAAAAAAAACAGAGGAAGTTTGTATTATTATAATTATAATAATAATTATTATTATTATGACAATAAGGGGCTTCTCATATGTGTTTTATTAATAATGGATTTATTTTTTTTTGTTTTGAAGCGGAGTGAGCTTGTTTCCGGTAATATAATTAACTAATCGATCAAGAAAAAATTTTTCGGTTGTTTCAAAAGAACTAAGGGTCTTTAACAGAGGAATCGACTCTTTTATAAAGATTCGATAACAATGATGAATTATAATTTTTTTTTTTTTTTTTTTTATACATAATATAAATATACTTAATGAATTGTTTTTGTAATTGTTACTTTCTATGCGGATTATGAATACTCACAAATAATATAAATAAATCAATTTTACAATACAACGCATAAAAAAAATGTGATATGTGTGATGATGCAAAACAATAAAAAAAAGGGTGACGTTTAATAATGAACGGTTCATTCATGCAAATATAAGTACATCGAGTGAGTGTGACCAAAATTATAAGACATGAAGGAAGGTTTTTTTTTTTTATTTTACTTTTTTAAATAAAAATAAGGAAATGGAAGGGGTGGGTGGCGGACGCAACATATTGTGACCATTCAATGTTATATTACTTTTTTTACATTATTGAGGCAAGTGTGTGTGGCATGCGAAAATCCTTTTATCGATTGTTTGTTCACATCTTCATCGTCGGCACAGCTAGAATCCACCTCCCTTTCCTCCCTTTATGAAAAAAATATCTTATAAAAAAGATTACCACGAATGGGCAATAAAGTGGATGGATGTGTGGTAATAAGTTATTCGGCCATTGCAATACATAATGCAATCACACAATGTCTTTGGCGTGTACAATGGAACATCATTTTTTTTTGTTAATATATTTATTTTAATCAGATATATATTGTCTAAATTGAATAATAATAATAATAATAATAATAATAATAATAATAATAATAGTAATAATATATGTGTCTCATCGGACATATTTGGTACATATTTTGTATAATTTGAAATACACAGTTAAATCAGTGATAATATACCATCTGAATGCACATCAGTTATTGTTCTAATAAAAAATGAGTACCAAGGGACATAAACGATTTTTTTTTCCTTTTGACACCGACAAGCCTGCCAAGGAGAATAGAATAAAAAGGATAAAATAAAATAAAATAGAATAAAATAAAAAAAATACGCACATCATGCTACCACAAATGGCAATAAAATAGGTATTATGCGAACAATCTGATAGTCACCCGATATACTTTTACATCATTTACCGAAAGCACAATTAATAATACACAAAAACACTAATAACAATTGTTGTCACCACATTATTTCTTTCTATGGCATGCATATGTTCAATCTGCGTGCGTGGACCGCATTTCTTTGTAGATAAGAGCAACGCGTGGAGGTGAATGACGAGATGTTCTGAAGTCGCAAAGGGAAGATGTACGTGCACTTGTATTACGCTTAGGTAGTGGAAGTTTACAAAAATATCTAACCGTCTTGATACGAACTATCAACTCATTTTTTTACACTCATTTTGCGAAAGCATTGATCTCTCATCGGGTAAATCGTGCGCGGCCGTTCATCACGACCATCGAATTTCTTGACGCAGTGCGATGTGCTCTTGCATATGATTTTCCTATCATGAATGCCCATTCTTCGTTCTATCATTTGTTTATTTGAGTGGCATAACATGGGTGCGGTGCCTGGAAACTTCAAATCATCGTTCGGTAATTAATCCGGGGAATCTCCTTGGGGTTAATTTTGGGTGCAATCAAATTTACCGAAACTTTTCACATTTCTGGCTAGTCGCGGACTCCCAAACGACTTTTAAGTTAAGCTCAGCTGTCCTCCGATATATTAGCAAGTCACCTGACGATCGAGGTCGTCGATCCTGAAATTTTTTTTTGTACTGGTTGATCGAAAATTCGAATAATTCTAATGATGATGTGGGAAACCCAAATAGTCATACACCCCCCATTACTCTCGCCCAATCTTTATTCGTTTGATGCACCACAATAACCAACAATTATTCGTCATATCTTTCTCCGATGTGATTCGAAAGGTCCTTCCACGCACGCACGCACATAGTTATTTATTTATTTGACACTCAGATGACCTTGGGTGCTGATTTGAGTGCAACGAATATTCTCGGGGAATTCAATAATTCTGTGCATACCCGTAACCTATTATGACGTTGAGGAACCAACACACTCCCTTTTTTGGTCGGTCCTTCCTAAAAAATCACACCACCGTTTTTTTTTTTTACTAGGTTTGTGTGCTGTGTAAATTAAATTCGCAATTATGTCGGGGATTTCCAGGTACTAGATTCTAATCCTCATAATCTCCATTATTTATTTACATCTCTATAGCCAATCCCTTTGTTCTTGCTCATAAATAACTTCGCTATGGTTTCTCGTTTAGTCCGTGACCTCCAAGTTTTTTCCGAATTTAATTAGATGCGCGTATCGCAGCGACAATGAACAAACTTTTCCTTTAAGGAAAAGGTCGTTGACAACCTTTTCACTGCGGGGGATACTGTAACACCATGATGTTCTCGATTAACATTTAACATGCGGCCTTGTGGTGTCACGAACGGAAGAGAACCTATTACTTCCTGAGAATCAACGCACGAATCCTCCGTAATACCGGGATACGGGCAAAGGTGGATTTTATTCCTGTTAAAGATTTACCCTGCACGTCACAAGGCACCTATCATTCATTATTTCTTTTGATTATAATGGCTAATCAACTGTCGTTCTTTCGACGACGGGAGTGACATGTGGTGACTCTCCGTATCATCATCGTCGAACTCTCTTCCTACCTTCGTGGATCGGAGGAGGGTTGCACTGCCGAACGTCCCACTTCATTCTCCATTTAATCGAACATTTCCGTCCCTCTCTTCCGTCCTCGGTTATGGTGATGAGTTATGTGACAAAAACAGATCCAAAAAGAAAAAATCGGTAGGTGACCGCATAAAAATAATTCCTGTATTGACCTTGCATGGAATCAACTGACTATGATCTATCAAACACCGCCTTTATCAATCAGCCCTTACTTCGCCCCAACTCCTCCTTAAAAACCTCCCAATAGTAATTTATTGTGACAATAGTTTTTATTTACTGAATATGTTCACACGCTCTTGACATTATTATTACTGATGTAATAGGGAAATTGTTATTAACAACATTTCCGATTTCCTCAATGAATTTTGAGGATTGTATAAAAAAATTACATAACAGAACACTTAAAATCTTAACAAAAATTTCCTTCTTTGCTTCATTTGGAATTATTTCTTCTTTGTGCATTTATTTTTGTTATCCATAAAATTGGGTCAACAAAATGATACCTATTTAGGTCATCGCTGTGATCATTGGTGTCTTTGTTTTTCAAGTAAACAATTCCTTTTTTTTTTTCTCTAAAAAGATCCCTACGGAGAATCAGGAAGACGGGAACGGGATGCGCATAATGAAGAACGCGTGATCCCATTGTCATTCTCCAAAGCTTTGATAATCATACGAACCGTTCCCCGATCCGAGGATGAAATCAAGTGATCAAAGGGCGTAACAAAATTACGTAAATTCCTTAAAGATGGTAAAAAAAGAAAAAACATACCGTGCACTCACGGTGCGGAGTAGGTCTTGAATACAATAGTCGATAAAGATTTTCATCGAGATCGAGGTTCACAACTTCGAGTGTTCCGCCCACGCAACCTCCTACCTAGAGCTTTGTCTTTGATTAGGTTTGTCGATCCAAAAGGGTGACTCCCGTTTACCATTGTTCCATTTGCCCATACAAAATTTCCTCTTGTATATACCTGTGCATCAAGTAATCAACCCATGTGTTCATGTTTACCTATATTTTTTTATTTATATGATATTATATTTATTTATTTATTTATTATGTTTCTCGCCGCAGTTTAATTTAATGGGGAATCCATTACCCATGAAGTCATAGTTGTTTCATTCTTGATTTTCTAATAACAGATGTTTGATCGCTTCCCGTCGAATGTGCGTGTCGAATATATATCGTGCATCGGTTTCATCAACCAATTAATAATACCGTAATAATCATCCAACTTTCAAATCCCATAATGTCCTGTATCGTCGTGGGAATATTGGACAAATCGAACCCAGCTTATTCCATTCTCTAGAACGAGGGGATGACATGCACGGAATTTTATCAAGAAGACACGTGGAAGTACCTTGTCCAAAGATGGCTACACGTAATTTAAATTGGACTTTATTTATTTATTTATAAGTTACCGCAGCGGCGGTCGGCCCGAAAAAATGTCACACGATTATGGCGGACTGACCAACTGCGGCGTTGTGTTGTGAAAAAAAATTCGCATGGGAGGGAACTACGAGCTTTCTTTCTTTGCCGTGATGAAGTGACATGAAAAAATCCTTGTGATAACATATCACCCCATGGTTTCGCCTACTTATCTGCTAACCGGATTATCTTTCCGTGATTCACTATCATCCGTATGCTTTGCGTGTGCCTGCCATTTTGGGAAATAACGGGACCACCCATTGGGGTTAAATTTTTTTTTTTTTTTTTTTTTTTTTTTTTTTTTTTTTTTTTTTTCATTCCTCCGATAGATCCCTAGGACAGGAAAACATCATACGAGAAGGTAACAGTGGATCATCCTGAACTCAAGTGGTATTCTTTTTATTATTCACCGGTGTGCCTTCCGGGATGGCTCATTGTTCGGAATAAACATATGACACATCATTACACCAAATCTCTCCACAAATTTGCTTCCACACACAAAACAAGGAATAAGGAGCAAAAAGAGCCGAATCTGATGACAACCTGGTGTTCAATAATGATCTTCTGAGCAAATTGCTACGTTTTCCCCGATACGAGTTTACGCAGGCACTCATTTTAAAAAAGCCGCATTTGGCTAATCTTTGCGCGGCAACGGCTGTCCGTTTTGGCAATGAAGGTGGCTCTCCCATTTATGGTTCATTAATTTTTCATTACCGATTGAACGTCAGTGTTGCGCACGTCTTCATATTTGGCGATCTTCTGTTCAATTCCGATATCAAATTAACCGGATACAGCACAAGAATCATGGTGCATCACGCATGGTCTCATATTTGATATCATGTTGAATGAAGCAAAACATACCTTTGAATAAATTTTCTTCGAAACCAATTTGAACATATATATATATATATATGATGTAATGTTTTCATTATGGACGACCATACCAGTCACCCGATTCCTTTTTTCTTTTTGTTCACTTACTTACGCCGATGTGGCGCTCAACGCACTCTTAAGCCACTAACATGTTCGACAAGCATCTGTGATATCATTTTCATCTCACATATGACGATATGAGATTTCCCCCCAGGGACGTGCGCCAAAATAAGAATTATGATCCTGTGCGACGTATTCGGGCGATCGCGCCTTAAAAAAAAAAAAAAAAGCTCTATGGGAAAAAAGGGGGGAAAGGGGAATCGAGGGTTTCCGATGAAGACGCATGGGTTCAACCGCTCGTGGTCGTGTTCCTCTCACTACTTTCAAGGCAGGCGAGATTCCGAATTCCCTAGGTGGCATATATCGAAGACGCAGTGGGTAAAACGTATTACGTTTTCGTCTATCGGGGTTTCACGGCATGAACACAATGGAATCGCTGCTTCATTATTACCCATCCAAAAAGAAAAGCCACTCTCATTGGATGATCGTCATCGGAAGGCGTCGTAAGGATCTTCAGACAAGGTTCTTTTTACTCAAACAATTAAGGCATTCTTACCATAATAATATATCCAGCACGATCAAAGGAAAGTTAAATAAAGGTTTCCTTATTCTATCTCTTCTTTTAAGGTGGAACAGATTGTTGTACCGTGATACCGTGTGTAGTTGAAAGAAAATAAAAGAAAATAAAGTATGATGAGGTGTAACTCTTGTTACCTTTACCCCACAAAATGTGCGTCATCAAATATGCAAGTGCAACATAACTGGATCTTGAAAAAGGAATCATAATGAAACATCGAGTTCGCCACATCCTAATTTCACTTCTTTTACTTTATTCTTACACAGAAACATCATTGTGCCATACATCAAAATTTATCCTGTTACAGGTACCGATTATCATATCAACCAACCCTCGCGTGCAACTCTATTATTGTCAAAAAAGAATAAGAGAGCGGTTGGTTGTCCACCTTAAAGGATCACAATATCATGTCATCTCAATGCTTTATGATATGCTGTCCATTATGTCGATTTTCACGTACACATTCGTATGTCAAATATTATTGTTATTGTTGTCGTTATTATTATTATTATTATCAAGGATGGATTAGAAGACGAAAAAAATTCTCACATGTCATTTCATAGAACAGCTAGCATGTATACGAGTCAGAGAGCATTATTATGACTCACGATGTTCAGATGGTCAGTGCGTTATGTTCGTTTAAAAACCTCCTCAGGGCCTTTTTTTTTTTTTTTTGGAACAATAGCGATATTATGTCATTCACTTTGTTTGATATCCATATGACCAAAAATTGCATTAAACGGCACATGACGAACCGTTCTTATCATAAGGTGATGATAATTATTAAGGTTTGACAGTATATTTATCTATACATTTATTTATTTATTTTAGGATTCTTGTTTTTTTTTTGAAAAAAAAAAAAAAAAGATTTTTGGGAACCAAAAAAAGTCATCATTTGACCTGCTGCACCAAGGACAGAACCGAATAAATTCTTGTTTATCGTTTGGACAATTAGTCTAAATTGCAAACCTAATTTTGACATCTTTGCCTCTCACACGGTGTTAGCAAATAATGGGATGTTGCGACACCCACAAGTCCAACAGTAGGCATACAATAATAATAATAGTAATAAATAAATATATGAGGATAATGATGTAAACTTTAAACTTTGTTCTTTTGGAGATTGCCGATAGGGAAAAAAATGTGGGGGGATATTAGATACCGGTTCAAACTAGTTTTTAATTTTTTACCATTAAATAAAGATCATCCTGGCAATGTCAGTTTGAAGTGGGTTTCAAGAGTATACACGATTTTGTCACAAGCGGATATGATTAATAATTAAGGTTTTCAAAAAATGCGATATGTAACACGAAACAGATGTGCGTACGTATATCTTTACGCCATCACGTCTGATGAAGAAGACGGGCGACCGGTGCGGAAATCTGGTAAGAATCGTTTAAGGGTTTCACCAGGCGCTGGTTCAGAGATGTACAGTGTTTTGCGACTAGAGCGGTGGTGGTCGCAGACATGCGTCTCAAGGCAAATGACAACATCAGATTGATCAATATGAACCCAATTCAGAAAGGACAATCAATCTCTTTTTCCAAGTCGTGGTCATTGACACATGGATTTTGGGGGTCATTTTAAAAAAACTCTTAAAAATCTAGATGCTTACGTAAAATTCATCTTCCTCGCGATATTCAATGTTTAATCAAAGGCCGACGATGATGTTGATAAGATCCCTGTGTGATTCAAGCACTCGTGCGAATCCCAACCTGACAGCATCCGACCCGATGAAATTACACATGACTTCCATGTCAATCTCAAGTTTGTTCAAATTAAGCAACCAGGAAGGGCGGGCGGGATGAACCTGCCGCACGCAAGTGCCAACCCTGCAGGCATCGTTCGATGATAATACTTACGCCTAGAGAATCATTTTTCATACTGAACACACTAGACATATAGACATGATGATCTTCGTCAACGTGACGTGTTGTACATGAATGAATGATAATAATTGACATGGGTGATGCCAATTTTCGCTATGGTATGCCGGTCGTTGTCACGATGATTTGTCCGGACGGTGGTTTTACTTTGTACTGTCCATTCACTGATCGGCCAAATCAATTGGGAAATGAGGGGATAGGAAGGAAGATAGGTGAGTGAGTGGGCGGGTGAATGAACGGATAAATAAAATGAATGAATGATTGCTTAAACTGGACTGGAGAAATATTAAAGGTAATTGTATCATGCCGCGTATAATTATCGTGAGAACGAACGTGTATACGTACGCACATACATACATACATACGTGCACACAAATTCACCATATCAACACCTTCATTCGTATGCCCCGTTCTTACGGGCGTCCCTTATGCACGCAGGGCCTCACGCTGCACCCTAGTAACCGGATACTCTCAAACAATTTCGCAACATAGAAATCATTTTCTTTGGCCGGGTTATCTTCCGATTACCAATTTCTGGATGTCACCTTACCCTGTACACCGAAAATGTTAGTTCATATGACTAAGTATGAATAATAGGTTTGGTCTCTCGCCTTGTTGCTACGTATTTGCTTAATCGCGGTGATACGCCGCTCGATCGAACATCAATGGACACATATTTATCTTACGGCCTAGCCAATCACTGTTGCATACTTGGAATAAAATTTTTATACGGCATGCGGTATATGTCGGTACCGGCGCAACACCCAGATAGTTACTCACAAATCGGGTAGGTGGGTGGTACACGAAGAATGAGTGAACCTGCAAGAACATGGTCTATACCATTGGATTCTTTTTTTTCTTAATAATGCCATGATTCCTGTTTTTCAGGTTAATTCATTATATTATGTGACGTGTGATGGACGGGACAACCGTTAATAACGGTGATTATCACAAATTCTTTGGCATTGATTCTTTCTTTTTCAAATCAGGGTCAAATCAGAGAACGACGACAAACTCCAAAAGTGCAATCAATTGAACTCAAGGATAGGAAACGAAACGACAGGTGCACAGGTGCATTGAATTGCGCGTTGAGATCTTCAGGATCAGCGTCCTTGTTATTGGGAGAGCGAATGAAGTATGAGATTAGTGATTGTTTTTCTACGCGTAAATTATGATCGATCCACATCACCTTGTTGTGCATTACGAATGGCTAGCTTATCGACAGACAGTAATAACAATAATACACATATTATGATCTTTTGAATTGATCACAGATTTGTACAGTAATTGGAAACAACGTTGTCTTTTAACCTTTGTTTACCAACATGTAATGAATGTCTGAATAGCCACTGCATTCTTATTGTATTATTCCCTTTTTAATTAAGGTTATCTTGGTCAAGCTCCAAGTTCCTAGGGTATGGACGTTTTACCGTCACGTTAAAAGAAACCCAAAAACCTTGGAAGAATTCAACGTCCCTTTTGACATGTCGGGATTGCTATCGTAAAGAAAGAAGATAATCCTTGCGCACGTAATTACCTAAAGTATATAAAAGTGAACTATCGAATGAATCAAAAATCCTCGGATTAACTTTAATCAATCGTGTTATGGAGAATATTGTTCCGTGGGAAAAGGTGGGTGCGAGCATCGAGAAAAAGAATGTTTAACAAAGAAAAGTGTTAAGGAGTGCATCGTTTGAGGGGGGTAATTTTGGGTAACAAAGCTGGAAAGAGGTGTACCTATGTGCGTGAGAACTGATATTCCTTTACGTCTTTTACATTCATCCATTCATCCATCCATCCATCCATCCATTCATTCATTCAATAAATCATTCTTCATTCATTTGTTCGTTATTCACTCATTCAATCGGTCGCTCACTTTTACCCATCCATTCACTCGTCCACTCATTGTTGAAATTCAAAAAAAAAAAAAACACGCACACAACCCATTGTGCTCGATAATAACACTCACTTACATATTATCATCTATGGACGCACAATGAGCCATGAGATAATTTGTACACATCAAGTTGAAGAAATGATTTTCATGAAATGTGAAAAAAAGATTGGTTGTATTCCTTTGGCCTTGTGAGGTTTCCTTGTTTTTACTATACTATGATATGTGTGAAAGAAAGATTGACCCTTGTTCTCGGTGATCTTTGCGGTATGATAGGCTCTCTTTGGGAACAACGATAATAATGCTCATTGTTTCTAAAAAGAATATATCAGAAAGATGTCACGCCTTTAACCAACATCTGGTTTATTCATTTTCCACCCCCTGTTTAATGATCGTCGACACCTAGTTTAATGACTGTCGTTTGATTTGAAACAAAAGATGATTTATGTCCGCGCGTGTGCAAAGTGCGGACGGTTGGTTGTCCAATAAAAATTTCTACCGGTCGACGACGCCCATGGTGAAACTTTCAAGGGTGCGTCGCAATGCAAGAGCTGTATCCATCACTCACTCACTCATTCACGATAATACTATTCAGGCACGTGGATATTTGATTGTTCAATTCGAGAACCAATTGATAAGATAGATGCATGTCAAGAGATAAGCATAAATAATAATCTGAATAATTGTGATAGTGGCAACAGTAGTAATAATAGTTTGTAATAATATTACATATTGTCAAAGGAAAAACCTGATGCTGTATATGCACGGTTAATTTTATAATTTTTGACTGACGATTTGTTCAACTTCAGGAATTCAATGTTTTCAATTACACCAATTTCATGCTCTTTCTTCATCATGATGACATGCTCAGGCAAAAAAGTTTAGATAATCGTATTATCAAGTTTTTTTTCAAACAATTTTCACACCATCTACTAACATTTAAAGTTTGCCGTCGTGTGTGTCTCATCCTAATACTGTCGTGCGGCTTTATCGCACCAATTCGTTCTTGGCAAATCTGGTGAATCGCTCCTTGGTGCACAATAGAATCGATAAAAAGTCTTTGTTTTGTGTGTGCAATTTTTTCTCTGTCGGGCATAGCCACTTATTAATCATGAATCAGGTTTTTTTCATGATACAATTTATATTGCTTGCCGATCAACCCTCGGAGTGATCACACGTAACGTACAATACACGACCAGACCCAATAGAGCGAAGAAAAGAACTAAGGAACAACGTAACAAACAAGAATATTCGAAATAAAGAAATATGAAAAAAAAACAATGATGCAAAATGTGTCAGCAGAAAAAAAGAATTGCCGCTTCTTGAAAAAAACTTTTGGGTGCACGCACACATGCACACATGCAATTTGAGCGGTAATTGGACGACACACAATACCAAAAGTCGAATTATGGAATTAAGTTTATTCTTAAAAAAGATGTACATTATAAAGCTATTGCTACTCTAAACTTTTTCCCGACTGTTGTGTTCAGCGTGCGCGTGCCAATCTCCCTTGCGCATTATATATTCTCCAATGTAATTGAAATTCGCTCTGGTATTTTTCCTTTCTTTCTTACCAACCAACCAACCAACCGACCAATTTGACTCGTTCTTTGTTTGACCCATGAGAAGAGGTGTGTGTACGTACGTGTGATGAGTCCCTGTGGAGACGTCGGAACGATTGACCTCCTTGTTCTCTTTTTGTTGTTTTTCTTTTTCTTTTTCTTCCTCCTATGTTTGGCACATGGAGATCGAATACGCGCTGTTTCAGCACACGCGCGTAAAAGGTGAAACATGCATAATAGATCATTGATTTCTTTTTTGGTCAACAATTCTTCACTCAAGACATTTACCCAATTCACCCAATAACATCACGAATCACAGACGCACGCGCGTTTGCAAGTATTCGTGGATACGGTAACGCGACACGGTGATTCTTTTCCTATTCGTGATCCATTTGTTTTCCCTCAAAGGAAGGTGAATCACCGTGCGAACGGTAGTTAACCTCAATATCTCATATGGTAATAGGCGGGTGGGGTAATTTGATGCCTAATTTTAATTTGAATTGTCTTGGTGATGATGATCGTTGAGGCACACACACGCGCCATCGTCGAAAAAGCGCTTTTCTCTGATAGGAAATCCTTGTGTGTGTGATTCGAAATCAACGATCGGGTGATTGCTAAAGTGGTAAGGGATGGGATCCTCGGGGTCGGGGATTACACGCAATACGCCGAACTCATTGAAATTTCCATAAAGAAATTCCAATGATCTCAAACATAAAGTGACGATGATTCATATTGAATCAAAAAAAGTTACCTTTTCTCCCCACTTTGTCAATCCTCGTTATCTATCCTCCGTTTTGTGACTCTCCCCGTAATACATGGATGTAACTATCCTTAGAATTAATTAGACTCTTACCATGAGACTCGTGCGATTCACTCGGTGGTATACGATCGTGCAACAAAACACCACACAATTCATGCGGTGATGTTTCATTAGGCAAAGAACGATGACACGTCGGCCGTAGTTTTCCAAGAGAATATGAGCCACATTCAAATTACGTTATTCTGTGCATGACGTAATCTGCAATCATCACTGTTGGACGACGCTACGCCACGTAGATCGCACAAGGATCTGAGTGTTAATCCATGCGATCACCCCCTAAAAAATTCCATTATATCACTCCTACTTTTCATTCATGTCCCGAATATGTTGTACATTCATTACTCATCATCGTATTACATAATAAACAGAGAAAACAATTCTATCTTTATACAGAAATAGTCTAGTTTGACGTGGTATTAATGGACATTCTAATCGCATTATTTCTTTTTTCATAATCCAGATTGTATATACAGTTACGTTACAATTTATTTATTTATTTAACCATATCATTATATAATTCCTGCCATACAGAAAAAAAAGGGCGGCAAAAAAAAATCAGGAAATTTTCTGGTGTATGAATATATGGTTAACAAAAGTGCCTACAATAACAGAATGGAAAAGCTCGTTACATACAATACAACGGTGATGATACAAGACGACTGACAATAATCAAAACGACTCAAGGACAACAACATCACCCTCTGCTCTTGTGTTCCAAGTCCACGCCATACAATAATACCTATCATCTTTCCATTTTGAACCAAAACTCTTCCAACTGATTAACGAATTACTACTATATTCTCGTTCTTTGAAAAAATTTTTTTTTTGAATTCGTCATTGCTGATATACAATGACTCTAATTGCGAGCGGATTATATCGGAAACTCCGGATGAACGTTGGGAACGACATTACAAATCAATTGGTTACGCAAACAATTTTGGTAAACGACTCCACGTCATAAACCCGATCTATCTGGATTTTTCTTGAAATTTAAATTTTTCGTTCTACCGGAATGCGAATGGACTTCCTCAAAAAGCTTCGTTTAAGGAACGGATAAATGGAATTTTCTGTCAAGCTCTCGGTTAAACCTTCATTCTCAAAACATTTTAACTAATTCATTAACTTAATTAATTAATTAAATAATTAATTATCCATTAATTAATGAAGGAAGGAAGTACAGTAAGGAGAGAAGGGATCATATATAGTGAAGCAGCTCGTAAAGCAAACTTGCTATTCATGTTCTACCGCAATCTTCCCGTGATGCATTTATCATAAATATTACGTGGTCAATTTTCACGGGAATTCGGTACATAAACGGCTATTCAAAAACTTGTTTTAGTGAGAGTATTGACGTATACGAAAGTTTAAAATGATATGCCTTCTTTTTCACCTTTCGATTGATGCCTACTCTGCCCGATGAAACGTTTTGCACGTATATTTTGGAAAACGCCGAGATTACCAAACCTTCATCATACAATTTGATAAAAAAATTACGAAAGAAAAAAAAAAAAGTAATCTATTTTTTTTTTTTCTTTCTGAAACCTTCATCATGTATTAAACAATCAATATGTCATACACCTGTTTTGTGAATGCACCCAAATATACGAATCACAAAAGACTTTTTATCTTTGGAAATGAAATCATTATCGATAAATCAAATATTATATTACATACAGGACGTACAGTATGATCCAATTACTACTGTACCGCATATTTGATAAGAGTCATAAAATTTTTTGAAGTTATTTTGATCAACAAAACAATCTCAAAAAAATTATGTATGAATACTGTATATTTTGAATATAAAGATATGATAAGAAAAGTTAAAATTTTTGGTAACTAATTTATTCATCGTGTAATGAACATTTGAATTGGTTTATGAAAAAAAATTTTTTTTAA